AAATTACGCATTTTCATGATTATTTTTATGATTTTTTAAGTATGTCAAAATGTCAGTTAAAAAAAAAGGAACAAACCCTTCTTCTCTGACTTTTTTGGGTCTGCCACGCTTTTTGGGCTCTTTAGAAACAGACTGCAGTGCTCCATTTGAAGATTGGGAATAATTATCATCTTCAGCTTCAACCTTAAACTGACTAGCTAGGATTTCAGGATTGTAGCTGAAAATACAAATTAAAAAAATGTCCCTACATGTTTCATACAAATGTCTTTAATGATTATTTAAGCAGATGGATAAAACTATGTGATATCAACGTAACACAATACACAAGGGACATTATAAAGAAGGATTGGACATGAATCAGTTCATATGAGCTGAAAGTTTATTCAATAAAAGTGAAAAACAGTTCAATTATTAACCATGAAGAAAAACCTGCACTTAAAAGTGCACTCTGGAAAATCCTGAAATTCAGTTTTAAAACTATAATGAACTATTTTTGGCACTGTAATAAAATTTTCCCAACTTTTTTATCATGTCAGATGCATTTTGTAACATTTCTTTTAAAAAAACAACTATTCATCAAAATCAATGTTTCAATGGCTGCCTGGTCTGCGCTCTAAACTGTCGTTCAATGGTCTCAGTCACAGGTTCAAACCCTGCCCACTGCCAGGAGGATGTAATAATCTTTAAATCTGAAGGAAAATCCAAAGCATTATTAAAAAGTCTGTGTGACTACGTCAAGATCTTTGTGACAATGTTTAAGTCTGTATGACTACATTCACGCCTGTCTGGCATACCCAGAGTCTTTGTGGCTTATTGAATGAACATTTTTGTTGTATTGTGTTTTAATGTTTTATATTTGTTTTATAATCATGTCATTTAGATATCTTTGTAAAAATATATTATAATTTTAGGAGGGGCGAGATGTCACAGGTGAATGTGTGTATGTATGTATAATCTATTTTTACAAAGGAGCGAATCACCGGAAGTGAGTTAGTTGTCAAAAGTAGAGAGTGCATTGTGTGATATGCCGAGAAGTTGAATAAAAGTTTATGTGTATTGATCTATTTGTTTAGTTGTTTTATTCAATAATTACAGCGGAACCTCAGGACACCTAGACGCATAGAGAAGGTAGTTGTTCAATTACATCAAGAAGTTGTGTCAAAAATTTAAAAAATATTCTCAGAAAAACAACATACATTCTAAATAGATTTGGGTTAAAGAGAGAGAAAGTAAAAACTTACTAAGGAGAAACAGACATCTGAGCATTGCTATTCCATTGATAATCCTGATAATCAGAGCTGGCATCCCAGGGTTCTTGTTTAATCTGATTCATACTTTCTCTGTATAATAAGGTTACATGGTAGTGTATAATTTACATAATAATTAATATTTTACACTTTTTTAGAATGTTACGACAAAAAGTTATTAAAAGATTTTTTAATTAGACTAATCATTATTTAGATTCTACTAAATGTCTTTATAGTCAGTGGTAGTGAATGCAATGGCCAGTGTTCAGCTCATCTGAAGAAGGAGAAGACAAATCCAGACTAGATTCTACAGAGGTCTACTTTTAGAAAAATAAATTTAATGTTCTTTACTATATCCCCCCCCCAAGATCCTACTAGAGTCTATAACTGTCGTCATCATTAAATGAAAATATGACTGTCTATTAGAGTAATCAGTAAATCTAACACTAATTTATTTTAACTATGTCTAAAGGCAAAGGAGCCAAAGGTAAACTGGTGTTGAAAAGGAAAGGTGAAGATTAAAGGGAAATTAACATTAAGTTTCAGAAGACGATTAGATCCAACATTAAATTGCATTGTTAAGTGATTGATACATTATCCATTGACCATGATTATTATGATAGGTCATTACTGAGTCCATAGATGATACTCAGCATCAGGGCTGGTCCTAACAGTTGCAAGGCCCTATGCGAAACTGATTGCGCGGGGCCTAGTCTGGGTGGGAATAAGCATAATAAGTGAAAATTAAGATTTTGTATTAGAAAAAAAAAAAATCGACTTTGAATTTTATTCATTCTTTACTAAGTACAAAATTGCGATCAAATTAACTTTACTTTACGAACCTTCAATCTATGACATATTTATATATCTAAGGTGAAAATTCGCCCGATTATTACATTTTATTACATGAAAGTCGACAATGATTTTTTTCTTTTATCACGCCTAGGATTGGCGTTTTCCGCAATGAATGAAACACACAAATGACAATTTAGTCTATTTTTCAGGAGATTTTTAAGAGTTTTCAGGAGATTTTAATAAATTCAAAAGATTTCCAGGAATTTTTCGTATATATTTTGCAATTTAATGATTACACCTAGAATTAGCGCGGGGCCTATGAAAGCACTGGGCACACTGCGACCGCATAGGTTGCAGTGGCCTAAGACAGGCCCTGCTCAGCATATAGTAAATTAAATTTCCCCTTTCAGACCTTGTGGTCTATATAGCAGATGATATAAAGGTCATCTGTTTTTGTTGCCTAAGGTTAACGAGGGTGTCATGTGGGCAGCACAACCACCTTTACTTTACCCCAACTAATGTCAGGTACCCATTAGAGCTGGGTGGACTCATGAGATGCCCAAAGATCCCTAAATTAAAAATCCCAGTCTTCACCAGGATTCGAACCCGGGATCCCTGGTTCAGAAGCTAAGCACTTTATCGATCAGCCACTGTGCCTCCTATTCAGCATATATATATATACTATAAAATAGATCTATCCGAGAATAATTCTATCGTCTACTACTCTAATTACTCTAATTTCACTAGATCACTTTGTAGTAGTTTCTAGATAGATCTAGTCTAGATCTAGAGATCTAGTCTAGATTCTAGAGGTTTATGCTATTCGAACACTTAGGCCAAAATATCAAAGTTTGACTTTGAGGTTGCATTATTTGATAATGGTTTGACATAGAAAAGAAAATGAAGTATCAAAATTTTATTTAGTTTAAGGAGAATAAGGATGACTACTTATATTTGTGCCCCAAACCTATATTTGTTATTATATTTAAGGTCAAAGAGGTCATGTGTTTTCATTTAATAAAAAAAAAATTGTCACACATTATTTGATTCCAAACATCAAAATTTATTTCAAACAGTCTCTATATTTTGGCATCAATAAACTCAGAATTTAATTCTATATTGATATTAATTAAATTTTAAGATCCCAAGGCATAGCCCTTCACATGAAATCATAAAGATGTTTCAAATTATGCATAAATACGAACACAAAAAAAAAAAATATGAACACACTTGTGACTTATTCTACCAAAATTAGGTCACTGGGATATTGACTTCTACATCGACTTTTAGACTTATTTTATGTTTGCAAGATTAGATGTGTGTTGAATGTTTGTGTTTTTTGTTTATTCATTTAATAAATTTCTAATACAGATGATCTTTTGTAGTATAGTACAGGTAGTACAGGCTAGAATGGCCATTCTTGCCTAATACTAGAATACTAGATAGATATAGGCTAGGACTAGATCTAGATTAGTAGTAAGTAAATAGTAGTACTAGTAGAATAGTAGAGATACATTACAATGTCAATGATACAATCAACAATGTATAGATCTAGAGATGATTTCAATGATTGATAATCATTTAATCATCATGATAGTATTACATTATTATTTAATTTAGAAATAGAATCTACTCATCTAATCTATATACAATTATAGTTACAGTATTACTGTATTAGTATAGCCATTATAGGCATAGCCGGCATAGGCTGCGGCTATATATCTATATCAGTATGCAGAGTATAAGGATAGAGTTGATTAGTAGATTAATTAATAGTAATTTATAATTATAGTTTTTATAGTAACTTATGTCTTAAAGTATTAATTTAATAGTATTATTAATACTAGTATTACTAGACTCTACTGTCTAGACTCTAGCTAGATTAGATAGTAGTGTTTACTACTAGAGTCTTGTAGTCTAGTACTTACTACTTTAACTTTACTTAGGCTTAGGTCTGTCTTAGTAGTAGATCTAGAATCTAGTAGAATACTACAGTGAGTAATGTAACAGTAGATCTAGATCACAGTGTACTCTAGTATTTCGCTTCAAAGACAAAGTATTAGTAAAGTATAAAATAGATTTTATTATATCTAGATCCTAAATTTCTAGATATGCCTATTTCACTTACTTTAGCTCTGGTCGACAAGTAGTCAACCTAAAAAAAAAATTAGCCTATGGGACTGTAAACTGCAATCTGTTTGACTCTCTTTGTGCAGTGTTTATAATTTTTGTAGGACTTCCTTTCATTCTGTAACATCAACAATTATTGGATGCAGTTAACACAATGAACCAATCATGTTGCAATAGAAAGAGCCTTGACCCTAATAGCAATTATAAACGATAAACTGAAATTTAAAATACATGAAAAATCAACATTTATAGTCTACTTGAAAACAAACCCCCAGACCAATGTCTGTTCTCTATAATACTCTACATCGAGACGTAATCATCTTCTTTTTTGAAGTAACGTCTGTATTATATAAGATAAGAAGACTAGTATAATCTAGAGGTTAGGGTTCTAGATTGACCATGGTCATGGATTGGACTATAATATGTAATCTAGTCCTAGATCTAGACAAACTAGTTTAGATCTTAACTAAAAAATCTAGATCTTTTATACAATAATACGTAACATTATAACTATAACATTAAACATACTAGTCTAAGACTAATTTTAAATTTAGTAATTAGAGTCTAGATATATCCAAGTTGAACTTATAATATTTATTTTACTCTTTTAAGTTTAAGACAATTAAGTCTTTACGTATCCTTTTTCAAACTTTTTGTGTAGTCAGTTAAGTTAGTCAGCCTCCTTAGCCTTAGTCACAGTGAGTCTGTGACTAAGATTCCTTGACCGTCTTTCTCCATAAGAGTCCATTCCTCTCTGTCTTTTGCCTTAGTTAGAACTTCTTTCAACGGCACGCCCGTCCATTCTTTTATGACTATGTCTTCTATATTGTCCTCCCATTGCTTACTCAGTCAACTCTGTGGTCTTCTTTTCCTGGCACTGTTCCCTGAGTCTGTAAGTTAGTGTAAGTGGTCTCAGACCCTGCCCTCCATTCCAGCCTCTCTCTGACTGAGGTTTGGCTTGGATCAAGTCTATTATATGTAACCTTGGTTAGGCCAATAATAGTATATATGCATCCTCTGTTTGGGACCCCTCAACCTCAAGAAAACATAAAGAAACTGGAATAGACACAAAATAGAGCAGTGAGATTCATAACTAACGAATCACATTTGACTTAAGTAACACCTTTAATAAAATCCCTAAATTTAGAAAGCCTTCAGGAGAGAAGACTCAAAAGTAAAGTAGCAACTATACATAAAACACTGAACCATAATCTTCAAATACAAAAACAAAATCTAATATAAATAAAATACTCAAAAAGACACAAAGATAAAGGCACATTCCTCGTTTCCACATGCAGGGACAAATATGCACAAATGCTCCTTCTTCCCTAGTGCTATTAGAGCATGGAATGGGTTGCCTGAGCCAGCTAGGAAAACCAGTGACTTGGCAGAATTTAATTCATTGGTTGACATGCATGCCTAGATGCTGACGCGTAGGACATAATCATCTTCTTTTTTGAAGTAACATCTGTATTATATAAAATAAGATAAGATAGACTAGATAAAGTCTATATCAATATGAATATAATGTAATGAACTGATCTGGATCTACACTACATTACATATGGATTAGATACCATCATTATATTTATATAATATTATAGAGTCTATTATTATCTATTATATATAATTCTCTTCATGGTTCAAGAGTTTGGATAAGAAGTAAAGGAAAGATCACTCTTTTATTTCTGCAAGCTGAACTAGAGTTACCCTATCCCTATGAAAAAAAAGGGGGGGGGGGGAGAACAAGTAGTATTCACCTGTCACAAAATAGCAGGGCCAGACTTTACCATTGTGATCTATGTCCACCTCACGTAGTTTTAGCGTTGAAAAAAAGAGGGGGGGAGAACAAGTAATCTGTCTACTCTGTATTCACCCGTCACTAAATAGCAGGGCGGTATTGGCCATTGAGGAGCCCTATGCGAAAGGAATTTGCAGGGCCCAGTTTGGGTAGGGATGCGGATTATACGTGAAAATTAAGAGTTTATATTAATTAGAAAATATATTTGTCTTTGCATTTTATTAATTCTTTACTATGTACAGAATTACTTTACGAGCCTTGCATGTAGCGAAGTCATACAGTATATCATATAAATTCTATTTCCTACATAGATCAAACTCAATACCGGTAGCAAGAATTACCAAATATTCCAATCTATCTACAAGAATTGTTGACCTCAAGTAATTCTTCATTAATTTGAAGCGCAAGAAGGTTCTTTCACCAGATTCCAAAATTATGGGATAATGCTATTTTTTTGTCGCATGTAGGATTATCGTTCTCCATATTGAATGACACCCCAAAATGACAAATTTTGTCTATATACTTCAGGAGATTCGTATGTGTTTTCTGAAGATTTTAATAATTTCCGGATATTTCCAGGACTTTTTTGAATATTTTGCAATTTCATGAAATAACCATAAGCTCCTGGTAAATCGATAGGAGGTCGCAGGCAATCTGTTATAAGTTATAAAATGGTTTAATTAATAATTTATACACCAATTATTAGTGCGGGTCCTAAGAAAGTGTGGGGCCTACTGCGGTCGCATAGGTTGCAGTGGCCTGATGCTGGCCTTGCAAAATAGTGGCGTAGGCTACGCCGCCGGTTGACTAGTGATAATCATAATGATGATATCTAGACTTATTTTATTAGTGTATTTTTATAGTCTATATAAAATTACAATTATGGTATATTTATTTAGGGAGGTGCTGTGGCTGAGCATTAAAGTGGGTTGGAATCCTGGTGAAGACTAATTTTTTATTTCAGGATCTTTGGGCTCCTCTGAGTCCATCCTGCTCTAATGGGTACCTGACATTAGTTGGGTAAAAGTAAAGGCAGTTGGTTGTTGTGGCTGCCAAATGACACTCACGTTAAGTATAGGCCACAGAAACAGATGAACTTTACATCATATGCCCTACAGACCACAAGGTCTGAAAGGGGAACTTTACTTTACTATATTATTATAGGAACTTACAAAGACTAGAGTATCAAAGAAATAGTAGTTTCATAAATATGTCCTATAGCCTATTTGTACTAACCAAATCATGTCCATTGAGTAACTTAAATAACTAAGGCAAAACGTGCAAAGCAAACAAGTAACGGAAGATCTGTGACAGTGTTTAAATATTGACCACTTATAGATTTGACACTTGAGTATAACGGAGGGATGACAGAGCCAGGCCAGATAACTAAATAATTTTTCTATGATTTTAGTCAAAAACTTTTAAAAGGCAGAAAATAAGGAGATTTACATGACATAATAAAAAAAAATCTGCTTAAAAATGAAATTAGTACAATATATTTAAATTATATTTTACTTTTAGCTTTGTTATTCAAGTTCTAAATTAGTTAAACATATTCAAATTGAACTTGTTAGAAACTTTATTTAGAAGTCATCAAAAATTATTTATGAAGCTTCATGTTCTATAGTAGGAGTATTCTCCATGAGCTTCTCAATAACTGTGTTCTCAACTTAGAGCTCAGTTGTAGTTCCTAGTAATTATCCACATAAAACAAAAACCACAACCTGGCAAACAATATCTACTGACTAGCTAAGCTAGTTGTGAGTTAGCCAGAGCACTCTTTTCCTGTAATTTAAAAAATGTGATCTCTATCCTCCATCTAACAAGTGCAACAGTCATTATTACGTGTGTTGTTGGACACAACAGAATATCCTTCCACTCACTTTGTTGATGTTAATAATTGTTTGTTAAGACCCATGTAACTTTAAGGCATTATTTGTAAGAGACTAGTTCATTACAGACGTCTGCAAATATTTCCATTTGAGGATTTGCATTTATTTTTTTTTTATGGACATGTTTGACCATAGCATAGATTGTGAGATAATTTCATCTTTATCAGTTGTTGTTTTTTTATAGATATTTCCTGCTCAATATAATCTACTACTGCCTAAAGTGAAATGTTCAAGTCTTCATTGTTAGGGTCATACAAGCTGCAATTGTGTCTGTATGTCAGCTGGTAAGATTGTTGTTTTAGAGCAGTGCTTCTCAAAGGGGGTTTTGAGTACGGTAAGACTTTAAAAGGGGTATGTGTTGTACATAGTTAACTATGCTGATTCTTTTTTTAAATACCCATTTAGTTTATAAATAAGAATAGAATATCACAAGTTTTAAATCCTTTCTATTATTTATTTTAAGTTTTTACAAACTCAAATACGGCGATATTTTACATTTTAAGACTAATTTCCACAAGGATCGGGAGCTGGATATGGATTTTACAGCTTTTGTTGAGCACCCACTTTTTCAGTGTAAAAACAATGTTTCCTTTTTTTTTTTTTAGAATGTATTTGATGTGTCTCTGAAGCATAAAAAAAAATAAACTCACTAAGAAATTGTAATAGTTATTTTGTGTATGAAGGACTACAAAAATTTTTTTATTGTTACTAAAATAATTCCTTTTTTGGGGGGTGGAGGTGCGAATGGTACCCAGCATTACATAACCCCTAGAAGGGGTACGCATAGGTCAAAAGTTCAGGAAACATTGCTTTAGAGCAGGGGTGGGCAAATTTTGTATTGAGGGCAGCATTAAAAAAAAGTTTGGGAATGGTGGGCCGCATATGTATATATATCTTAGAAAGATAAGCTTGCTGTGTAGAATGTCTTTTAATTCATATTTACACTGTATTACAATTTTTTTAAATTGCTGTTTTATTTTTATATCACAATATCCCCACAATATACAGTTGTACTTAATGTGTAGTATTTTACTTCATACACTCATGCATAATGTTTCTTAACTGTGAAACTATCTTACTAGTTCGACCAGTTGTTACCCCTGTGTGTGACTGCTGTCAAATTAGTCAGTCAACATTGACCAGTGATTATACTTGTTTAGTTTCCACAAAAAATGTTTGCTCACTGAATGAGACAATTTATGTTCCCGAAGTTAAATGTCGGGACGAGCGAAGCTTGTCCTTGTGGAGCATCACCAGAGAATGCTGACCATGTCCTTCAATGAAGCATACTAAATCAAGGAACCCGAACTAGACTCTCCAAAGACTATTCGGAGAACTGCCTGATCTGGAAACCACTACACGGTTCATCTCAGATATAGGATTGCTGATCTGAACCCTTCAACATGTAAAATGAGAACGAAGAAGAACTGATGTATGTGTACTCAAATAGAGTGAACAGCAGCAAAGTTTTTTTAAGTGTGGAAATACAGCTTCTAGCACCCATAAAACTCCCGTGGTAGTGCTGTCTGGAACTTCTTTGCTTTGTTTATGTCCTCTGGAGCTGAATCGGCTTCTCTTAATAAGTGTTGTACTTTTAATCATTTCACTAAAGATAGTTTCAGCAAAGGAAAATGACACAATTTTTTTTTCTTGCCTGTAGAAATGGGAAGGCCTTGTTTGAAAAGATTTAACATGCATTTACATTTCATATGTAAACTATCAATTGCAATAGCAATTATAAAAGACATGAAATTTTGTCTTCCACTCTTCATTAGAAATATTGGTAACAATGTCACATCCAATGTCCTTCAAGTAACATTACAATTTCATCCTTAAGGTTTTATATTCTTCTCCTTTGCCTTTCCCATGCTAAGCTAGCGGATACATTGGATTTTATTATTTTTAAATCAGAACTACCTGTGGTTAACTCCCCTAGCTCTAGTAAGTTTCATTTTTAACTTTATGAATAATTTAATGTTTAAATTAATATGCAGCTTTGTCCAAACTTTCCTGTTTCAAGTTTATGGTTCTTAGTCAAAGATTGAGCTCCATCAGTTGTTTCACTTGCCATCTTATTCCAAGCCTACCCAACACTCAGACATTGTGTCTTGAATTGAGTGTATTGATGCATAGCCAATAAGCATAATCTTCGTTTACTTAAAACTTTTAAAAATGAAACAGTTTCAATAATTTATATAGATATTTAAAAAAAATATT